ATTGCAATCCTTGTGCTGAAGCAAGATGTCTGGAACTTTACATTAATTTCCTGAAAAAATGAAGTCAAAAAAGTAGCCATGACAGACTTGACAACATAAAAAGAGGCCTGAAAAGGAGAAAAATTAACATTTTATTGTTTTATAGGCAACATAAATGCAGCAAACACCACAAATGCTGGATTTTGATAAGAAAATATTGAACATTAAACTGACATTTACACATCTACACCAGTTTTATATCTGGGTCTGGTCTCATTGGCCTGAAATGCCTCAGGGTTCTACGTTTGACTCTGAACAAATAAGGGTTAGAAATCCTTGAAATGCACAAAAAAAATATTTTTGGGTGAAAAATAACATTCTTAGCTGTAATTCAACCACAAAGTCCAATTAAGATCATTTTCATGTCAATACAGGTGCATTTAAATCCCTCAAAACACATTAATAGAAAAGGGTGGGGTGGGGCATTTATTGCCTCTCTAAACAGAATGATGGAGTAAAAAATGTCTAGAAAGGCTGGGATATTGCTTCCTACATGAAGGAAATGCAAGAATTTAATGTTTCAAAGGAGAAAAAAATGCTTATTCTGGGTAAAATAGTGGCAAAATTGAGCCAACCCCTGTTTTGACTATTTTGTACAAACCCATCTGCTGTACATTATTAACTCAGTGTTACCAATTTTAAATTTTCTGTAGGAAAGCTGGAGCTATTTCTAAACCTGACAAACATGTAGATCCCATCTAAGTTATATTAGCAAAGAAAATATGGGCATTTTTAGACATTTTGACTCATTTTAGTAGTCATGAAAATATTAATTTCTACATCCAAATGGGGGGAATCTCAAGATTTTTTGTGAATATTCCTGATTTTTAGACAAAATTTGGTGAAATTTCAATACTGTTCACTTTATCTGTGCTTTCTGAGACTGAATAAGCCAACATTGGGCATTAGAATATTTTACTTACTGTTAAAAATTCAATAAAAATTGAAAATTGAGAAATTTGCAGTAAAATTACAATTTTTCTTCAAAACTTTTATTTTTTTTTTTTTCATTAACTTTTTTTAGTTTTTCTGTAGCCAAACTATTTTATTCATATTTTCTGAGAATTTAATCTTCATATTTTCAAAACTAAGGCATATCAGTGACAGCCTTATCACACACAGACAGGACACAGATCACTAAAGATTGCCCCATTGACTCCAATGTTAATTCTCGTATCTTAGACCGGCTCTAACTTTTTCCCAAATTTTCGTTGGGTAGAACGCTTTCTACCACAGATGGAGCAACATGTGGCAACCACTTGCCCAAAAGCACGTATGAGGTTCTTCATGAAAAACTTGAGATACACAAGCTGGAAGTAGAGACAAGTAAACATGCAATTTCAGGCCCTACATTTCAACGTAACCAACCTCTCAACTCTTGTATCCTTCCGCATCAAAATTATGAATATTCACCAAAACCTGGCAGAAAATGTATTTTCAAACCCTTTTCCTCAATTCTACACCAAAAAGTCAACAAAAATCGCCATGCAAAAGGGGGAAAAAGGAAAAGGGAGAGGAAGACTAAAAATAGCTTTGGCCCTTGTTTCGTGGGTGACGGCGTAGGAATATTTGGTGATCTGTGTCCTATATAGGGGTGAAACTTCAGGTATCACCAAAAGGCCTTTTTTATTTCCTTCCCATGTGTTCTGGCAACATGCCGGTGAAAGAAAATCAAAATCAAAGAATAACTGTAAAAATGATGGCCCTTTAAGTACACATGCTGCTTTATGTACACTGGTGCATCTCAGGTCCATAGGCCTTTTGTGCTAAAATTTAAAAATCTTTCTTATTAAAGGCAGTATCTGAGTTCTGTGAAAAAATTAGACAAGTTACAAAGAAACTACATAGAAAACACTCATAATTTGGAATTTTTTTCAAAAATATAATTTTTTACTGCCATGTGATGAAAAATGTACAAAATTTACATGTAGCATCTCTCAAAATACCAATAATTTTCCACTTTTTTAAATATCCGGACGGACAAGAAATATATTTTTAGAATCTGTGGACAATATGCAAACAGAAAAAATGCAAACCAGTTGCAATGATTGTAATATTAGAGATCTATACTGAAACATGTATGCCTACCCCCTGAACATGCCACTGATTGAATTAATCTAATCTATGGTTGCAGAACTTACATTACCAAAGGAATCTGTCTAACAGCTATGTTTTACCATCCCTGGCTAACATATGCACATATAAACTAAAATAGGTGCAATAAATATGAATTATGGTTAAAAATAGGCCTTGATGAATGAAAAAAATGCCATATTTGGTCTATGATCACCCCTCTCTAACAGAAGGGTCACAGAATACACAATTTTCACAAATTTGGGAATATTTCAATGTTTCCAACATCTCAAACCTCAGAGGCATGTTACAAATTTGTATTGCAATCCTTGTGCTGAAGCAAGATGTCTGGAACTTTACATTAATTTCCTGAAAAAATGAAGTCAAAAAAGTAGCCATGACAGACTTGACAACATAAAAAGAGGCCTGAAAAGGAGAAAAATTAACATTTTATTGTTTTATAGGCAACATAAATGCAGCAAACACCACAAATGCTGGATTTTGATAAGAAAATATTGAACATTAAACTGACATTTACACATCTACACCAGTTTTATATCTGGGTCTGGTCTCATTGGCCTGAAATGCCTCAGGGTTCTACGTTTGACTCTGAACAAATAAGGGTTAGAAATCCTTGAAATGCACAAAAAAAATATTTTTGGGTGAAAAATAACATTCTTAGCTGTAATTCAACCACAAAGTCCAATTAAGATCATTTTCATGTCAATACAGGTGCATTTAAATCCCTCAAAACACATTAATAGAAAAGGGTGGGGTGGGGCATTTATTGCCTCTCTAAACAGAATGATGGAGTAAAAAATGTCTAGAAAGGCTGGGATATTGCTTCCTACATGAAGGAAATGCAAGAATTTAATGTTTCAAAGGAGAAAAAAATGCTTATTCTGGGTAAAATAGTGGCAAAATTGAGCCAACCCCTGTTTTGACTATTTTGTACAAACCCATCTGCTGTACATTATTAACTCAGTGTTACCAATTTTAAATTTTCTGTAGGAAAGCTGGAGCTATTTCTAAACCTGACAAACATGTAGATCCCATCTAAGTTATATTAGCAAAGAAAATATGGGCATTTTTAGACATTTTGACTCATTTTAGTAGTCATGAAAATATTAATTTCTACATCCAAATGGGGGGAATCTCAAGATTTTTTGTGAATATTCCTGATTTTTAGACAAAATTTGGTGAAATTTCAATACTGTTCACTTTATCTGTGCTTTCTGAGACTGAATAAGCCAACATTGGGCATTAGAATATTTTACTTACTGTTAAAAATTCAATAAAAATTGAAAATTGAGAAATTTGCAGTAAAATTACAATTTTTCTTCAAAACTTTTATTTTTTTTTTTTTCATTAACTTTTTTTAGTTTTTCTGTAGCCAAACTATTTTATTCATATTTTCTGAGAATTTAATCTTCATATTTTCAAAACTAAGGCATATCAGTGACAGCCTTATCACACACAGACAGGACACAGATCACTAAAGATTGCCCCATTGACTCCAATGTTAATTCTCGTATCTTAGACCGGCTCTAACTTTTTCCCAAATTTTCGTTGGGTAGAACGCTTTCTACCACAGATGGAGCAACATGTGGCAACCACTTGCCCAAAAGCACGTATGAGGTTCTTCATGAAAAACTTGAGATACACAAGCTGGAAGTAGAGACAAGTAAACATGCAATTTCAGGCCCTACATTTCAACGTAACCAACCTCTCAACTCTTGTATCCTTCCGCATCAAAATTATGAATATTCACCAAAACCTGGCAGAAAATGTATTTTCAAACCCTTTTCCTCAATTCTACACCAAAAAGTCAACAAAAATCGCCATGCAAAAGGGGGAAAAAGGAAAAGGGAGAGGAAGACTAAAAATAGCTTTGGCCCTTGTTTCGTGGGTGACGGCGTAGGAATATTTGGTGATCTGTGTCCTATATAGGGGTGAAACTTCAGGTATCACCAAAAGGCCTTTTTTATTTCCTTCCCATGTGTTCTGGCAACATGCCGGTGAAAGAAAATCAAAATCAAAGAATAACTGTAAAAATGATGGCCCTTTAAGTACACATGCTGCTTTATGTACACTGGTGCATCTCAGGTCCATAGGCCTTTTGTGCTAAAATTTAAAAATCTTTCTTATTAAAGGCAGTATCTGAGTTCTGTGAAAAAATTAGACAAGTTACAAAGAAACTACATAGAAAACACTCATAATTTGGAATTTTTTTCAAAAATATAATTTTTTACTGCCATGTGATGAAAAATGTACAAAATTTACATGTAGCATCTCTCAAAATACCAATAATTTTCCACTTTTTTAAATATCCGGACGGACAAGAAATATATTTTTAGAATCTGTGGACAATATGCAAACAGAAAAAATGCAAACCAGTTGCAATGATTGTAATATTAGAGATCTATACTGAAACATGTATGCCTACCCCCTGAACATGCCACTGATTGAATTAATCTAATCTATGGTTGCAGAACTTACATTACCAAAGGAATCTGTCTAACAGCTATGTTTTACCATCCCTGGCTAACATATGCACATATAAACTAAAATAGGTGCAATAAATATGAATTATGGTTAAAAATAGGCCTTGATGAATGAAAAAAATGCCATATTTGGTCTATGATCACCCCTCTCTAACAGAAGGGTCACAGAATACACAA